TATTAACTTTTGGTTGAGAATATGTTTGTATATTTTCAAAAAACAACTCTGAGACCATCTGGAATCTGTAACAGAGAGGAATAGACAGAAGTGCTCCAGCCATAAAGACTGAAGAGACACAATTCAGAGATGGAAGATGCTGCTGACGCCTCAGCATACCAGCAGACAGCAGCTGCATGTTGCTGAAGGATGCCCAGTACCAAACCAGAGACGGGCAGACCTGCATTACCACCATTTGTCCACCAACCAGATCTGAAATATCATGGCTGACATGTACACATAAGGAACTATTTGACATTGAAATTGGAACTCAAAAGAACTGCTGGCCCAGAAAGGAACTCGCTACAGACTGATTCATTTGCTTCACAGCATAACCATTATTGCTTGTTGCAGTTTAGGTTCTTACAAGGGTATTTCTTGGATCGCATGATCTCACACATCTAGAGGAAATAATGAACAACATAAACTGATGAACAAAAATAGACCCAGAGAAAGAGAAGCAGCATTCAGACTCTCAAACCTCAGAGGGAAAGTAGGGGAGGGTGGGGGTAAGGGGAAGATATCAACCAAAGGATTTGTGTGCATCCATATGGGCCTGGTCAGTGGCCATGGACAACAGGGGGTGGGGAAAAATGTAGGGAGGGGTTTGGGATGGGAATGGGGGAATAAGGACAACTATGTAAGACCATAATCAATAAAATAAAAAATAAAAATACATAACCCCCCCAAAAAAACCACAAACAAATATTAAAGGGACAAATAGTATTAAGATAGTACATAATGTAAAGGGAAACACATAGTAAACAATAAACGTAAAAAGTACTAAATGAGGCCACGGGGACGCCACTCACATCACCAGGTGGGCCCAGGGTCAGCCTCCCCCAGTCACTCCCCATTCACCCGCCAGCTGAGCACACACACGGACCGTCCTGCGCCCCTGTCCTCCCCCAGAGAGTCTGGGTGACCTGGTGAACTGTGTGGGGCTGGCCGCCATTGGCTCGAGAAGAAACCAGGTGAGCCCAAGAGACGGACCCCCCATGAGACGGCCAGAGGCCAAGGGCAGTGGGGCCTGAGGCCGTGCCTCCCCAGGTGAAGAGGCAGTGGCCTGGTTGGGGGACCTGCCCATGGGGATCTCTGTGCAGTCGCTGGAAATGGCGGGAATGCATGAACACACATGATAAGGGCAGGGATCTCTCACATACAAAGAGCACTTGGGAGCCAATACAAAGAGGGCAGTGAGCCGTGGGTCCTTCACAGCAAGAAAAACCAAGTGGCCGAACGGGAAGAGCATCTTCAGTAACGAGAAAAGGGGCCACGAGGGGGGAGTGTGTGTCTGCCTGCTCTGGGCCTCACCGTCTGTGGCGTGGACAGTGCTATGGCCTCTCTGCAGGCCACGGGCCGCCTTGCCAGCGCCCAAATGCCCAGGCCCCTGGACGGGAGACTCCAGCCTCTGGTGGCCCTCAGAGAGCCTGGCTCCCTGGGGGCCGCAGGAGGACGAGGATCGAAATGCCAGTGCGCAGCCTGCCAGGCTCAGACAGGGCACCCGAGTCCGTTGGAGCGGAGAGGCCAGAACAGGCATCTCTGAGGCCTGTCCAGACACGGAGGATGTTCCACACGGGGCACCAGGGGCCTTCTGACCGCGGCCCGCCCTGTTGTGCTCACATTGACTCACTGACACACACACTCACAGACACTCACTGTCACACACTCAGGACACACTCTCACACTCAGGGACACTCACACTTTACATACACCCTGTCACACTCAGGGACACTCACACTCATACAGACACACTGTCACACACTCAGGGATACTCACACTCACACTTACAGACACCCTGTCACACTCAGGGACACTCACACTCACAGACACACGACACACATTGTCACATTCACACTTACAGACACACAGTGTCACACTCAGGGCTCCTCCCCAGCCCAGGCCCAGCGATATGTTTCTCTCACATCAATGTTCCTCTCTTTCTCTCTTCCGCTCTCCCTAAAACTCAATGGAAAAATATCCTGGGTGACGGTTCACAACAACAACAAAAAAGAAGGTGAAGCTGCTGGACCCTCATCCCCATGCAGACAGTGCTGGTGCCAGAGGCTGAGCAGGCGGCATCGGGTCAAAACCCAGGAGGCCTGGGGTCCTGGGGTCCTAGAAACATCCAGCAGTGCTGAGGCATCCCAGGTCCCCGCCTCTGTCCACCCTCTGCCTCCGGCTCCGGCTGCCCTGGGCCTGACCCCTGTGAAGAGCTGACCTCCCGGGGCCAGTGTCATTGACCCACAGGTGCGCTTTCTGGAGGGGACAGTCAGTGCCTTCTAGATGTGAAGAATTGACTGTCGGATAAACACAGGCACAAGCCAGGCCCAGCTGCTCCTGTGTGTCCATCCAGGCTGGGTCACATCCTGGGAGTGGGGGATCACCAGGGGAGCCCGTGGGGCCTGTGGGAAAATCCTGGACGGGAGAATGGATAGATGTGGGATGAGGCAGTATGTGGCTGCCCCAAACTTCAGGGGGGCCTTGCATATATTCTGGCTTCCGTCTGGGCCTCAGATGTTCATAGGCATTCAAGACCAGAGTGGCTCTGCCTCCTTGCCCACCTGTGGCCTGCTCACCAGGGGTCACTCAGGGCCAGCCCTGTGCCCGGGACCCCCGCCCCTCGGCCCTCACAGCCTCCCCTGGGGCCATCTCAGCCTGTCCTTCGGCTCCCACTGCACTGCCCCGGCCTCTATGTCCCTGCAGCTTGGCCCCCGGCCCAGCCCCATGAGCAGCCATCTGGAGCCGGGACCCACCACCACAGGCCCAGGCCCCTGGGGGTCACAGCCCAGGCCACACGCACCTGGCCTCGCCACAGACAGACCACATGACGTGCAGACGGGCAGCCGAGACTGGTGAGACAGGAAGTGGCGAGTGACCCCATCTAGGGTCATGACTCAGTCTCAAGCCCTTCCCCAGGCTGCCCCTTAGCATCAGCCTTCTGCAGAGTGAGCAAGAGCCGGCAGGGCAGGGGTCTCTGAGCACACAGATTCAGGCAGGGCCAGCTGGGCAGGGGGCCTGGGGCTCTTGGCCTCTGACCCTCCAGCAGCCTCGAACAGGTGGGTCCTGGATGCTGCCTCATCCCCTCCTCCATCAGGCGCTCTGATCCTTCCTGGGAGCAGGGATATGGAAAACAGGCACCAAGACAGAGGAGAGAGAAACAGCAGGCAGGACCAAGAGCCAGAGGACCACAGGGCAGTATGCTTTACCCGACAGGGGGAAGTGCTGGGGTATTGTGGCCTAGGCTGAGCTGAGCTGGGCTGAGCTGGCCTGAGTGAACTGGGCTGAGCTTGTCTGGGTGAACTGGGCTGACCTGGGCTGGGCTGGGCTGGGCTGGGCTGAGCTGGGCTGGGCTGAGCTGGGCTGGGCTGAGCTGAGTGAACTGGGCTGAGCTGGGCTGAGCTGGGTAAACTGGGTTGAGCTGGGCTGAGCTGGGTGAACTGGGCTGAGCTGGGCTGAGCTGGGTGAACTGGGCTGAGCTAGGCTGGGCTGAGTGAACTGGACTGAGCTGTGCTGGGCTGAGCTGAGTGAACTGCGCTGAGCTGGGTGGGCTGAGCTGAGCTGAGTGTACTGGGCTGGGCTGAGCTGGGCTGAGCTGGGTGAACTGGGTTGAGCTGGGCTGAGCTGGGTGAACTGGGCTGGGCTGGGCTGAGTGAACTGGGCTGAGCTGAGCGAACTGTGTTGGGCTGGGCTGAGCTGAGTGAACTGGGCTGAGTGAACTGGGCTGAGCTGGGCTGGGCTGAGTGAACTGGGTTGAGCTGAGTGAACTGGGCTGAGCTGGGCTGAGCTGAGTGAATTGAGGTGAGCTGAGTGAACTGGGCTGAGCTGGGCTGAGCTGAGTGAACTGGGCTGAGTGAACTGGGCTGAGCTGGGCTGGGCTGAGTGAACTGGGTTGAGCTGAGTGAACTGGGCTGAGCTGGGCTGAGCTGAGTGAATTGAGGTGAGCTGAGTGAACTGGGCTGAGCTGGGCTGAGCTGGGTGAACTGGGTTGAGTTTGGTGAACTGGGTTGAGCTGGGCTGAGCTGGGTGAACTGGGTTGAGTTTGGTGAACTGGGTTGAGCTGGGCTGAGCTGAGCTGGGCTGAGCTGAGTGAACTGGGTTGAGCTGGGCTGAGCTGAGCTGACTGAACTAGGCTGAGCTGGGTGAACTGGGCTGGGCTGGCCTGAGCTGGCGAATGGGAGGAGGTGGGTTTAGTATGCATCACCTGCAGAGCCGGTTCCCCACCCAGGGTCCTCTGTGTTTCCCGGGCACATGAAGGCCATGCAGTCTCAGAGGTGCCTGTGCCCTCTCTACTCCCACCAATGTCCCTGAGGGAATCAGGAACAGACAAGGGTGGCCTGTGTGCCCAGCTTGTCTGGGTGGGACACCTCACAGGGCTGGTTTCATTGAGTCTCTGAGTTTTGTAGGCCCTGGAATGGACTCTGCTTGCTGGGCCTGCAGTTGTTTGCAGAGGGTGTGGCTAAACTGGACTCTGACCAGGGAACTCTGAGGGGCCCACGGAAGCCCAGCTCCTCTCCTCTGTGTGTGCCCTCCAGCATAGCAGGCTGTCCCTCAGGGCAGGCCAGTTACAGGGCCAGACCCCTCGGTGCTCCCCTGTGTCCCCCTCTGGGCCCACCTTTCATGATCCCCAAACTCTGAGAGACATGGCCACACCCACTGCACAGAGGGATAGGAGGCCCCATTGGGGCCCACAGACCCAGCTGGTCTGTGGAGAGCTGTGTGGGTAACGTGGCTCCACCCGCACGAGGCCTGTGTAAGGAGTGTGTCCTGGTCCACGGGCCGGAGCTCTGAGCAGCGTGTCCAGAAATTGCACCTGGACTTGGCGGCCAGTCCCCTCCCAGGGTGCCAGCCTTCAGGCTGAGTGACCTGGGGCTGTCATTCGCCCTTCCGGGGCCTGTTTGCCCGGGGCAGAGGCGGGGGGCTTCATCCCCTCCGCGTGGGGCTTCCAGGGCTCTCACAGCATGTCTTGTGTTACAGCGAAGCACCCCACACTCTTCCCACTGACCCTCCGGAGCACTGAACCGGCCGACCCAGTGGTCATCGGCTGCCTGGCCCAGGACTTCGTACCATCAAAGCACACGAACGTGACCTGGGACAGCAGCGGGCCGGGCACCTCCATCAGCACTGTCCTCCCCATGTTCACCTCCCGGGGCCTCTACACCATGGTCAGCCAGCTGACCCTGCCGGCCAGCCAGTGCCCGGCAAGCAGGACCCTGAAGTGTCACGTGCAGTACAACTCCAGCCTGAGCCAGACCAAGGACGTGCCCTGCAAAGGTCAGAGGTTGGGCCAGGGTGGGGTGGGGGCCATCAGGTTTTTATGGTGGAACCACCACACCCACTGAAGCTCCCCTCACACAGAAGAGGGAGAGGACAGGGCTGGAGCAGGAGGAGGGAAGGGGTGTGGGCCATGGGCACTGAGTCCTCAACCTCCCTTCAGTTCCCCCGAAGCCGACATCCTCATGCTGCCAGCCTGGCCTGACCCTGCGACCACCGGCCCTTGAGGACCTGTTGCTGAGCTCCGATGCCAACCTGACGTGTATGCTGAGTGGCCTGAGAGAGCCCCAAGGTGCCAGCTTTGCCTGGCAGCCCACGGGTGGGAAGGAGGCCATCCAGCAGGCCCCGCAGCGTGACGCCTGCGGCTGCTACAGTGTGTCCAGCATCCTGCCAGGCTGCGCCGAGCCGTGGAACCGCGGGCAGAGGTTCTCCTGCACTGCCGCTCACCCTGAGGTCACCAGCCCGCTCACCGCCACCATCGCCAGAGCCTCAGGTGGGCCGGGCCCCACCCCAGGGGCACCCACGCAACCCACGGTGGGCCAGGCATCCCCCTAAGCCTGCCTGCCCAACCCCTGGCACCCACTCACGTTCTGCAGAGGGAAACTGAGCACAGGGCACCCCGTGGGCAGAGGGGCTCTCTCCTCCCTGACCGGCCCCTGACCGGCTCCTCTGCCCCCAGGGAGCACCCTACCCCCCCAGGTCCACCTGCTGCCGCCACCCACGGAAGAGCTGGCCCTCAACGAGCTGGCAACGCTGACGTGCGTGGTTCGGGGCTTCTACCCCGAAGACGTGCTGGTGCGGTGGCTGCACGAGAGCCAGGAGCTGCCCCGAGAGAAGTACCAGACTTGGAGGCCCCTGCCCGAGGCCGGCCAGGGTGGCACCAGATTTGTCACAACTAGCGTGCTGCGCGTGGACATGGAGGCATGGAAGAACGGGGACAACTACTCCTGCATGGTGGGCCACGAGGCTCTGCCCCTGAGCTTCACACAGAAGACCATCAACCGCCTGGCGGGTAAACCCACCCACGTCAACGTGTCTGTGGTCATGTCCGAGGTGGATGGCATCTGCTACTGAGCTGCTCGCCCCCTGTCTGCCCCGCCCTTGAATAAACTCCGCTCGCCCGAAGCAGTCACCATCCCTCCAGCGCCTGTCTTGATCCTCTCAGTTGAGCACCTCAAGGTGGCCTCACACAAGTGCGCTTGTATGTGTGTGTGAGTGTGAGTGCATGAGTGTGAGCACATGGTGCACAGTGGTTGAGGCCAAACTGAAATGAAGCCTGAGGCTGGCAGAGTTGTGGGAGGCACAGGGGGTCCTGAGGGCAAGGCACCACTGGGTGGCCCCGTTTGTCTCGGGTGCCAGCTTAAGGAGTAGCGGGAGGGAAAGAGGTGGAAGGGATCCTCTTCAGGAAGACAAGTGGAGTCCCTATCCAAGCCCCCCATGGGTTTTCCCCAGGCCCAGCAGGGTCTGCCTAGGGCAGGGTCTGCGCCACCTTGTGGGGCCAGGGTATGAGGGGAATGGCATGGAAGGAGGGCTGGGTTCCAGGGCCCCTCACCTCCTGGTAGGTGTCACACAGAGATGCAGGCCAGCCCACTGACTCACAAAGAAAGGAAACCACACACCAGGGGTGGACATGGGGGTGCACACATGTTCTCCATGTGCTCACATTCACATCTGTGCGCACACACATTCTCCACATGCACATGCTCACATGTGTGCACACACCTTCTCCACATGCTTACACTCTCATGGGTGCACACACACCTCCACATGCTTACACTCTCATGGGTGAACACACACCTTCTCCACATGCTCACACCCTCATGGGTGAACGCACACCTTCTCCACATTCTCATGGGTGCACAAATACCTTCTTCATATGCACATTCTCACATGGGTGCATATACACATTCTCCACATGCTCACACTCTCATGGGTGAACACACACCTTCTCCAGATGCTCACACTCTCATGGGTGCACACACATATTCTCCACATGCTCACACTCTCATGGGTGCACACACACACTCACACACACACACACACACACACACACTAAACCTTGCAGGTGCAGAAAGTTCATGATCTAGTCCCCACTCCAGGAAGACAAGGGGAGTCCCCATCCAAGCCCCCCACGGGTTTTCCCCAGGCCCAGCCCACTGTCCCAGGTCCCTCCTGGCCCAAACCACAGGGCGTTGGCAGGTGTGGGGAGGGACCAGACAGATAGCTTCTATCAGAACTCCTCTCAGCTTCTGTGTGGGGCCTCTGGCAGAGGAGAGGGGCTGGGGGAAACAGAATGGAAAGGGCAGTCTTATGTCCACCTGGGACACCAGGCACCAGGGCCCCAAAAGGGGGCAGCAAGAGCCCTGCTCTTGTTTTAGAGACCTTCTGGGCCTCCCCAGGAGACCTGGCCTTTGGGCTACCTTCCTCTGTTCTCAGGACCAAGGTGGGGGAAGAACTCCTAATGACCCTGTCCACTGATCCCCTCTCAAAGGTCCAGTCACCCAAGGGCAGTGGGGAGAGCAAGGTGTTGACAGGGGAAATGCTGCCATAGTGAAGGTGCCCCAGTCATCAGGGACCCAGGACCTGCTGAAGAAGGAGCTTCTTAAGGAGACCAGGAAAGGAGAAGAAATCAATAGATGAGGGGCTGAACCAGCAGATAGGTGGATGGACCATAGGACATCAGATGGATGAAAGGATGCACAGATAGATGAAGGACTGGTGAATGGATGGATGGAAGAATGGATGGGTGGGTGGATGGATGGATGGATGATGGATGCAGGATGGATGGATTGATGAATGGATGGATGATGGATGGAGGATAGATGGGTGGATGAATGGGTAGATGAGTGGGTAGATAAGTGGGTAGATGGATGATCCATGGGTGAGTGGATGGATGGATGGATGGATTGATGGACGATGGATGGATGATGGATGGAGAATGTATGGATGATGGATGGATGGATGATGGATGGATGGATGGATGGATGGATGGATGGATGAATGATGGATGCAGGATGGAAGGATTGATGAGTGGATGGACAGATGAATGGAGGATGATCCATGGGTGAGTGGGTGGTTGGATGGATGGATGGATATATGAATGGATGAATAATTAGATGTATCAGCATATGATAAGGTCCACATTCCATTTAGCATGGCAGCCTATGCTTAGGATCCTGAAGCCAACAGAGCTGCCTGGCCTTCACCGGGCCCTCTTTAATGCTCCTGTAGCTCATCAGCTACACTCCCTGGGAGGGCGACAGAGGGCCCTGGTCACACCCACCCAGCCCTCAGCATAGGAACCACAGCCCCAGATCCACGCCTCCAAGTGTGGCAGCTGGAAGGTGGGCTCGGCTATCCGCTCCAGCCCCTTCAGGACCCAGGCCGGCTCAGCCCAAGAGCAGGGGCATGGCAAGGACACAGATAGGCCTTGGTATTGAGCTCTCCTTGGAGCAGCAAAGACAGTGCCCACCCTCCCGCCCTGCCAGCTCCATCTCCCTAAGGCGGGCCAAGACCCTCCCAGACAGACCCTATGGGCATCTCCAGAGCCACCATGGCCCCAGCTCCTTCCCCGGGGACCTGCCACCTCCTCTCCCAGGCCACCTTGCCTGTGAGTTAGGAACCACACTACTGTGCCCTGACCCAGGGGTGCGGGGAGGGGAGGGCAATGGCTCTGCCCACACCCATGGAGGCGCATGCCTCACAGGCACAGGCCTGACGCTGTGAGTGTCTTGCAGGCTTCCAGGAGTGGCTTCCCTGTGTGCTGATAGACCAGCCCCAGGAGGACCGGGAGGAGGACGCCCCGGGAGCCAGCCTGTGGCCCACCACGGTCACCCTGCTCACACTCTTCCTGCTCAGCCTCTTCTACAGCACAGCGCTGACCGTGACAAGCGTCCGGGGCCTGCCCAGCAGCAAGGAGCGCCCCCCGTTCTGAGCAGGAGCCAGCCAGGTACAGGTGGGGGCAAGGAGACAGTGTGGTGGGCTAACGTGGCATGGGGCCCCTGGCTAGCAGGGAAACAGATGCCACGGAGAGTCTGGAATCAGAGGGAGGCAGTCCCTCATGGACGGACATTGAGGACATGGGCAGGCCAGGCTCAGAGCTCAGATGTCCGTCCTAAAGGGACAGGGAATCTGCTTCCCAGCCAGTTCATTCACTGCAGGTTCCATCCAGTTTGCCCTGAGCCAGCCCGGGTTGGGAGTGGGGCATTGGCCAGGACCCTGCCCCCTCAGGAGCGGCCCCAAGCTTGACTCTCTGGTGTTTGCAGGAAGACGCATGGAAGAACCTCCCAGAGCCAAGCAGACCCCAGAGCCAAGCCCAGCTGGAAGCACCCATCCATCCCCACACGGCCTTCCTGGCACAATAAACTGTGACAAGCACAGAAGTTCTCTGACTCTGGATGAGGGGAGGGTGCAGGGGCCGGGGTAGGTTTCGGGGAGAAGCGTACCATCCTCATGACCCAAGGCAGGTTCACAGTGAACATGGAGACGGGGCCCCCTGCCAAGGCCTCCAGACCAGTTCCCGCATAAGGCACAGGTGTGAGCAAAAGCAGGTCTCACCAAGGGGAGTGTAAACAAGACCCTCACAGGAAGTGGGCCTAGCTTTCTGGTCCTTGTCATGGGCACTGGGTCTTATCGCTGGGCCCCAGTCCTTGTCACTGAGCCTGGTCCTGATCCCTGAGCCCTACTCCTAATCCCTAAGCCCCGGTCCTGATCCCTGAGCCCTGAGCCTGAGCCCTGAGCCCTGGTCCTCATTACTGAGCCCTGGCCCTGGTCTCGGCCCCGGTCCTGGTCCTGGGCCCCAGTCCTGGTCTCTGGGCCCTGGTCCTGTTCTCTGGGCCCTGGTCCTGAGCCCTGGGGCCTGGTCCTGAGCCCTGGGGCCTGGTCCTGATCACTGGGCCTTGATCCTGATCCCTGGGTCCTGGTTCTGAGCCCTGAGCCCTGAGCCCTGGTCCTGGTCCTGGGCCCTAGTCCTGGTCTCTGGGCCCTGGTCCTTATCCCTGGGCACTTGTCCTGATCACTGGGCCCTGGTTCTGAGCCCTGAGCCTTGAGCCCTGGTCCTGGTCACTGAGTCCTGGTCCTCATTACTGAGCCCCGGTCCTGGTCTCTGGGCACCGGTCCTGGTCCTGGGCCCCTGTCACTGGGCCCCGGTCACTGGGCCCCGGTCACTGGGTCCCAGTCCTGGTCCCTGGGCTCCGGTCCTGGTCCCTGGGCCCTGGTCTTGGTCACTGAGCCCCGGTCCTGAGCCCTGATCCCTGGTCCTGGTCTCTGGGCCCCGGTCCTCATCACTAGGCCCCGATCACTGGGCCCCAGTCCTGGTCACTGGGCCCTGGTCCTCATCACTGGGCCCCGGTCCCAGTTACTGGGCCCCAGTCCTGGTCCGTGGGCCCCGGTCCTGGTCCCTGGGTCCCGGTCCTGGTCACTGGTCCCTGGTCCTTATCACTGGGCTGTGTCCAGGTCTCATTTCCACTTGCTCTGTCTCTGAATCCCTATTGTCATCCTGCATCACTTTATCTCAGATCCTAAGTCTGGCCACCACGCCCTGGGTCTGAGCACTAATCCTCTGCAGGAAGTGACCCACATGGGGGACAGGGAGGCTCTCAGAGATCCTTCAGCCTCTTGGTCTGGGCACTGGATGGAGGATGAAGGGATGGCCACCACCTGGCCTCGTCCTCTCCAGGTTTCCGAGGGCTGTGCGGGTGCCAGGCCCAGGCAGCCTGAGCCAGACCTGTCCCTTAGGGTCTCCAGGCACAGAGGTTACCTGGGGCAGGAGGGGGGTGGTGTGGGGAGGAGGGGGAGGCATGGGTGTTTGTGTTCTCTTGTTTTTCTAGTTTTTCTCAAGGCTCTGATGCCATATCACCTGCTGAAACTTCCAAAATTACCCCGCAAGCCGCTGAGTCATTGTGAGCCCGCCGGCCAGGTGACCTAGCCAGAGCTCTTTGTGCTGAGGTCTCGCCCCAAACCGAGAGCTGGCCAGGTGCTAGGCCTGGGCCTGGGCCATGAGCCGGAGGCCCCAAGGCCTGCAGAATGCCCCCACCCACAACAGCTCCCACAGAACAGGCTCAGCCAGGCTCATCCAGACCAACCAATGTCAGCCTACATCAGCCAGGTCAGCCAGGATCAGACCTCAGAGAGACAAAGGTTACCCAGGGTATGCCAGGGTCTGTCAGGGTCAGCCAGGGTCAAACAGGTCAGCTCAGGGTCAGCCTGAATGGTACCCAGATGTGGATAGACCAGCTGGCCAGGGAAACTCCAGGGTGTCCCAACACCAGGCCCACTGGCCTTGATCATCGTGTCATGAGGGTCAGGATGGCCCCATGCCCTTCATTCCTTCCTCACGTCACCTGGGAACCTTACGGAAGGAGCAGTCTCCTCGTCACCACCTGGTGATTGTAGAGCCACGACCGGGCCTTACAGAAGCCAAGATCAGCCAGGCCTGGCTGGTGTGGCTCAGTGATTGATCATTGACCCAGGAACCAGGAGGTTGCCATTCTATTCTCGGTCAGGGCCCAAGCCCAGGTTGTGGGTTTGATCCCCAGTTGTGGGCATGCCATAGGCCGCTGATTAGTTAGGTTCCTCTCTCATCGATGTTTCTATCTCTCTATTTCTCTCCTTTCCTCTCTGCCTAAAAACCAATAAAAACATGTTTAATAAAAATAAACTAAGAGAGAGAGAGAGAGGGAAAGCACAAGTCAGCCAGAGCCTGTGAGCTCAGCCAAGGAGCCCCCACACCTGCTGTTCTTACGTCACCGTTCGGCCAGGTTCTTAGGCAGCTAACTCCTAACTGGACTGCTGCCCTCCTGAGCCTGTAGCCACGACACTGCCAGACCCGGGTGGCACTGCCCACTTCCAGGTCCTACACCCCATGCATCCCTCCTTCCTGCTTCCCTGTGTTGGGCCCCACAGCCGGGGGCAGAGAATGGGCACAGCCCTGGGACCCCAGCAGACATCCCTGTGGGTCCCAGGCCCAGACAGGCATGACCCACGGGCTCATGGCAGGACCCACAGCCCACATACAGGGACACTGCACCAAAGTCAGAGACAGAGACAGTGACAGAGAGAGACAGTGACAGGGACAGGGAGAGACAGTGACAGGGACAGAGACACACAGAGAGACAGGGACAGAGAGAGACAGAGACAGAGACATAGAGACAGAGAGAGACAGGGGCAGGGACAAGGAAAGAGACAGAGACAGGGACAGACAGAGACAGAGACAGAGACAGAGAGAGACAGAGTTGAACAGAAACAGACACACACAGGGACAGCATGAAAGACAGAGACAGAGAGAAACAGGGACAGAAAGAAACAGAAACAGAGAGAGACAGGAACAGAGAGAGACAGGAACAGGGAGAGACAGACAGAGACAGACAGGGACAGAGAGATACAGGGACAGAGAAAGAGAGATACAGGGACAGGGAGGCAGAAGTGGGAGACACAGAGCCAGGCCAGGCCAGGGGGACCCAGGGAATAGACAGACAGAGGAAGGCACAGGAAAGGAGCAGCAGGCCCAGGTGCCAGGAGTGGGCCTCTCACACATGCACATCCACCACACACACACTCAGCCACACTCCACCCTGCACACACAGAACACCTACCAGTCCCAAGCACTGCCTGGCCTTTTCACACTCCAGTCACACGTTTCATTCACATCCAGAGATGGACAGACACATACTCATGTTCACACATTTACTTATGGGCACACATTCACACACTCACTTCATCTATCACACTCTCACTCACACACTCACAGTCACACATGATCTCACACTCTCACACCCACACACACTCACACAGTCACAGTCACACAGTCACACCCCCTCACAGACATCACTCTCAGTCACTCTTTCACACTCACAGTCACACACTTTCTCACACTCACAAACTCACACACTCTTGCACACCCACAGGCTCACTCAGAGTCCCTCTCATGCACAGCCTCTCTTTGGGCTAAGGGAGACCACGAAACTCACTCTGGCCTGGATGCTCCCTGTCTGGGAGAACATGCAGAGTGTGGGGTCCACCCGCCCCACAGCTCACTCCCCAAGTGCCGGTCCTGCTGGGTCTCCTTTGTGAGTGAAAGGAGCTCTGTGCTGAAGAAAGACCCTGGGCACAAGCGCAGTAGGGGCGTGGGGGAGGTCAGCAGAGCTGGGAGCGGCGGGTGAGGCAGAGCTGAACTGTGTGGGGTGAGGGCAGAGCAGGCCGGGCCCCCCTGTAGCTCCAGGTCTGGCCCTGATATTGCTGGGACACCCTCCAGCCCTCTGCCCTGTGCAGTTGCTGTGCTGGCGAGGCAGCCTCCAGGCCTCAGGGAAAACCCAGGCTACCTAGGCCGGACACAGAGTTGGGAGGGGGCCTGGGCCACGGTGCTAGGGGACGCAAGACACCTGGGACAAGGCTCCTGGAGGGCCTGGGCCTGGGTCTGGGGTTGGGACAGGGCCCCACAAGGTGCTGGCAGCCGGGGCCTGGGGCTGCCCCCCTCCCCGCTGAGGTGCTCACAGCTGAGGACTCAGGCCTGGGGCCGAGGAGGTCCCCATGAGGTGCTGGCAGCCTGGGCTCTATCACAGAGCTGGGCACCAGCCAGCACTGCCCGACAGGGAGGACGCTGCCAGGATTCCAGCGTGCAGGGAGGGCTGGTGGGATGCCCACGGTGCTGGGGGTTAAGGGAGGCAGGTTTTTCCTGGGGTCAGTGAGCAGCGGCAGCCGGCAGGCTGGTGGACAGAGAGGACAAAAGGCCAGGTGACCAGCCTGAGGGTAACTGGCCCAGGCCCAGGCATGGCCCCACAGTGACTGCCCCCTGGCTGCCACAAAGACAAGAGGCAGAGGGCAGAGGAGCCGGGGCAACCATCCTGCACCGGGTCAGGTGGGCCCTCTCCTTCCTCCTGCTCAGGGGAAGCTGTGGAGAGAGGCCTCGTCAGTGTCTGGTGCTTAGAGCACATGGAT